TAGATATGTATCAGGATTTTTAATCAGACATTCGAATATCCGGATATACAAAAATTTAGCTTTTAATATGACGGCAATTCCACAACCTCCAGAGAATCCTACATCGCAAATGTTGATTAGCTATCCTTCCTAGCCTGACAGTAGTTAAAATGAATGGACCTGGTTTTAAACTTTTTTAATACTAAAATATTCATTGAACTTGCGTTGAACGCAACATAAAAAGGCTGCGAGATTAAAAAAAAAACCCTTTTACTGACAGCTGAAATGCCCTTGCAATTCATCCCCTTGTAGCCATTTGAAAACTTTATTAAATTTTAGGAAACAAGTACGTAGTAACTGAAATAACGATTGATTTTTCAACCGTTTTAACTAAAATTACCGTTAACTGCGCTAGCGCCAATCGGTTTGGGATTTTTCCTCAATGTAAGAATGTGGTGAGAATGTGAGAGAGCACTCACCATACAAGGAATGGGATATTATATGGGACCAAATATCGGTTGGGTCCAAATGCAACAGGGTGAAACCAGTGTCTATCACCCTATACTTCCGGTAGTGCATTCCAGTGACGTCCGGTACATTCCAGTGACGTCCGGTAGTAAATTCCAGTGGAAGTTTTGTGATCTATCCCTATTCTGACATTCATTGTTCGCTTCTGTTGTGGTGGCCATCGACATCGCTTTTTTGTTTTGCTGTGACATTTGGTACAACAGATGTTTTTTAACAACACAAAACACAAATATTTTGATAAATAACCACAATTTAGGCAAAAGTTGGTAAAGGTCTCGAAATATTGCGTATTCCAAGGTAAATATAAGTAAATAAGTCAGCGGATATGTTTTGATCATAACTTTTACAGTATTAAAATTACATAAGGCGCTGGCGACACAACACTTTTAAAACAAAACAGTGAAAGAAGTAACAACAGCCGAGTGGCACTTTGGCCATTAGCTTAAGTGGTATTAGTTCATTCACTCGCATTGATTATGTTATCATTCATCAGAAGGAAACTGTCAGAGTCGGATTCAGTAAGCGGTAGTAATACAACGCTTGCGAACGGCCAGGCAGTCGGTACTATAGATAATATTCTTGCACAGAAAACTAGCCAAATGTCCTTGAATAACGAAGCCATTCCCATTGGGGAGGATGCGTTGCTACAAGAGTTGGGCTACAAAAATGCAACCGATCTCCAAGAAACCGTCTACGG